AAAGAATTGGAAGAATTAAGGTCCACAACCTGTATAAACGTGAACTGAGGGAATGGCATTTCCATGCGATGCTGCTGACACTCTGGCGTCAATGTCTTCATGGCGTGCGGAGTAAACTTCCCAGGAGGAAAGTTGGCGCCAAGCTAAGTACCATGTACAGAACACGTCGCCTCCTGACCACCCGAGCTAAACGTACATTCTACTTATCCTTCATACAATCCACTCTTGACTTGAGTATGCGAGTAATGCATATGTACACTGTCTTCGCACCACAGAATATGATAACCTGATCAAGATCAGTAAACGTGCATTACGGATAGTGTTTGGTTACCCCTCGTCCTCCCATTCAGCCCCAATTCTCGCACGCTTCTCTGCCAATTTCAGTCCGCTTCAGTTTAAAATTGTACTCAGTTGTTTTCCGTTGCGTCCTAGGCCAGACCAGTGCCCTTCTTCGAGACCTCTTTGTACTTCGCTCTTCAGCAGCTAACACTTTGCAATGTCGGACCCGCCTTCACTCCTCCAATGGTCTTGTTTTACCCCGAGTTTATTCACGCTACGGTGTGTTTTCTCTCTCTTATTTGGCTGCAAACAGATGGAATAGTGCTCCATCTGATATCCGCACTGCTGCATCGCCATCCCTATTTCGCCATGCATTACTTTCATTCTTAGGGTAGATCTACCCCGTAAGAAGACCTTGAGTCTGTGGGGACTGCCCTATTAAAATATGAATAAAATAATAATAATAATAATAATAATAATAATAATAATGTGGTTGAAATCAAGGACACTGAAACCTTCAACTGAAGGCATGATTATGGCAGCACAAGACCAATCCCTCAAAACGAAAAATTACCAATACGCCATAATGAAGTCAATTGCTCGAACTGATGCCAATTGCAGGCTTTGCAAGGGCAGCTTAGAAACAATTGACCACATTGTCAGTGCCTGCCCAGTTCTTGCTCGGACCAGTTACATTGACCGACATAACCGGATAGTAAAGTATGTGCACTTCGAAATGTGTAGAGCACGAGATCTACCTACTGGTGCTTCACGATTCGACCACCAGCTCAAGGCATTGGTCAAGAGTGATCGGTATCGCCTCTATTGGGAGTATTCGGTCCCAACTGACCTGAAACTATCAGCAAACAGGCCCGATCTGCTCCTTGTTGATGACAAGGAGCGCATCGCCTACATTATAGACATCAGCGTTCCTGGTGAGAACAACATCAATAAGAAAATGGCTGAAAAGCGCTCGAAATATTATGATTTGAAGCGGGAGATTTCGAGGATTTGGTCCCTCACCCAGGTTGACGTGGTCCCTGTGGTTGTCGGTGCCCTGGGAGGCTTGGTGGGGGAGACTCCTCAATGCCTTCGGACTGTGCAGGGAGGAGACCTGGCTATTGTGCAACAGGAGGCTATACAAAAAAAAAAAAAAAAAATTTCACGGTTCGCGTGAGACTCGGCCAAAGGCCCAGTTTTCCGCATCCGCAGGAACGCCACCACCCTCTTGGATCAAGGCGCAGATGCAGCTCCTAAACGGTGGGAGGTGAGTAGATCAGACCCACCACAAAGTGGTCAAAGACCGAAATCCCATTCACTGCATCCATGTTTCCCTCGTGCCAGGCCACGAGTTCCCAATTAACTGTGGGTTGCAGCACGGCTGGAAAAAATCCTTCCGCTTCCAAGCAGGACTTGAACCTGGTACCCTCTGTTTCTCAATCATGGTCTTAGACCATCCCACTATGCCTGCCTGCTATACAAGGTTCGATTAAAATACTAAGAACTATCCTTAACATGTAGATGCACCTCTGCTGCGTTTGCATGTTCAATAGCTAAGAGACTTGAATAATAATAATAATAATAGTTACAGTTCGCATGTCACTCATGGAAGGATCCATGGGCTTAACGCATCTGTCAACGAAATCCAGGCAGAAGAGCCGACAAAAGGCATCTCATTATTGTTAGAACGTATCGCAGCAAGCATCAGCCATTCTTTCTTGTCTAGAGCCAGTTCAAAACAGTCAGAAATATCAATATTGGCGTGCTTTAGATCACTTTTAATATTGTCAATCCATCTGAGATGGGGTCGGCCACGTGGGCGCTTGATGTCCCGGGTATTAATTGCCATCTCCAGTGCTTGGTAGGATGCTGAGTTACGTCCTTCGCGAACAACATGGCCCAGCCAGAGCAGCCGACGTCTGCGACAGGTAGTGCTGACTGGGCCTTGTCGCGTTGAGGCGTACACCTTGGCATTCGACATGTGGTGAGGGTACACCACACCAAGCAGGTACCGCAATTTTCTGCGGTGCCATGCGTCCAGCCGATTACTGAGTTGCTGTGTCAGGGCCCACAGTCCGCAGTTATACAACAGGATAGGCAAAATGAGGGCAGAAAACATACAAAGTCTGGAGCTCAGTTTATGACGCTTCCACGAAATGGAGCCGAACGCTCTATTCGCAGCACCTATTCTTGCCTGAATATCCTCTGCGGACCCTAACAAAGAGCCAAGCAGCTTGACAGATCGCCAAGAGGAGTCGGCTTTAGTTACTGTAATATATTGTGTTTTCTGAATATTTAACATTAGGTTATCTTCTTTGAATTTTTCACTTGATTTCTCCACAATCTCCTCGACTTCTCGCCTCTCCGTGTCATGGATTGTTGTGTCGTCTGCATATTGGGTGGTTGGTGCTGGTAAAGATAAGTGCGATAGTATAGGATCAAGGTGGCGCATGGCTCCCTCAGCATACACATTGTACATGATGGGAGACAGCGGATCCCCCTGCACTACTCCGATATTTGTAGCAAACGCTTTGCCTAAATGAGAACTGAGTTTCACTCTCACCGTCGTGTCCGAGATCAGAGTGGCAACGACATCAGTGGCAGCTCCAGAGTCTGAAAATCGCGCCAACGCCTTCTCACGGACAATGGTATCAAATGCTCCGCTGAAGTCTAATAGTGCGGCAGAGTATTTCCAGTCACCGAGTAGTGCACGTTCGCACATGACACGCGTATAGAAAACTCCGTCAGCCGTGGAGCGTCCGGGTGTAAAGCCTGCCTGACTTTCACGTACATATGAGGTGGTAGATTGTTGTGAACGCATGGTGATGATGCGGGTCAGCACCTTGCGAACAACTGATAGCAGCATGACCGGTCTGTAACTTTTCGGTGCACCCATAGGTTTTCCTCGTTTGTATACTGGCACCAGAAGGCCACATCTAAGGTCAGGTGGGCAATAGTGGAGTTCCTTAATGGAGTTGAATAGGGTAGTCAGCCATGGAGTAATGACAGTCGAAGCCGTACGTAGCAGTGCCGCACTGATCCCATCACATCCAACAGCGCCGCGAGACTTGAATAACGACTGATAAAGACTGATGTTTCCTTTGTTACTACTCCCTTCATTGGTTGATGTATTTTGCCTGTCGCTGCAAATTCTTTATTATTGTTTTGATGTTGGAGTTCGGATTGAGTTTCTTTCCTTTCTTCCTCTTCCTTCAACTATTTCTTGTCCCTTTGGTTTTTAGGTTTTATTTATTTATTTATTTATTTTTGTTTTTGTTTTTTTCACTTTCTTTTTGCTGTCCCACCCATGGAAATATTTCCCGGTGGGTCTGGCTTATCGCCTTCGAAAGAAGTGAATAAAGGAGAGATAATAATCTTCACTAGTTTGAGGGAAAGAGACAAACGGGAAAAGTCTGAAGAAAAAATTGACTGTCACCACCAGGACTCGAACCAGAGACCCTCGCTTGTAGCTAGCGATGCTCTAACCACTGAGCTATGGTGTAGTCGTTATCCCAGCAGAGACTGTTAATAATAATGACAATAATAATAAAAGTAGAAAGGAAAAGGACATATGGAAACGAGTTAAGAGTAACTCTCCACCACTGTAACTAGATACTATATACAGTCAGAAAGTGCAACAACTAGGCACAAAACTGACAGAGTACTAAGACATTCGACGTCCTGACACCTAGCTTCAACACTTTCTGACTGTAGCATCTAGTTACAGTGGTGGAGAGTTACTCTTAACTCGTTTCCATACGTCCTTTTCCTTTCTACTTTTATTATTGGCTCAATACCCGAGTTTCAGATAATAATAATAATAATAATAATAAACTCCCCGGATTCGCCCAGGAATGACCATGCTTCGAGACACTCCGCGACAACCACTTGTTTGCTGTCGTTGATGTCTACGGTCTACTCATTCTGGTGGACTGAAGTGTCTGAAGTGTCTGGGTTCACCGAATCTTCCTCAGCGAACCTTCAGCAATCCCTGCAAACCTTCTCTGCTTTTCATGTTTTTTTGTTGTTGTTTTTGTTTTGTTTTTTACTAACGTTATGTTCACATACCCAACTCATAAAGAAAGACAATGGTACTAGACTGAGACAGGACAAACGTGGCAACTGCTGAGCAGGGGCTGCACCGAGACGCAGTAGTGATGGTGGGACATTGATGGCTCTAGATAATTGTAGCTCTGCCGACCTGAGGTCTCGGCATCACAGCCCAGAACACGCACCAAAAACAAAAGATAGAGCTGTAGACCTACGGGTCAGCCTAGGTCAGCCTAGGTGGGTAGGTCAGCCTTGAAAATGAAAAGAAAGCAAGCATGACATTGTGCACGTAAAGTAAGCTGTAGTCCATATTCGACGGGGTGCTATGGGACGCGACGTAAAGAGCCGGAAACGAACGGAAAGCTCATGACCCTGATCGACGGGACCGCCAGAAACGGCAACGCAACCGAACTACCGTACAAATAGGAAGCGAAGAGAGATCTGAGAGAGTTGAATCTCCTGAACTGGAGTCGGGAGCTTTTTCCTGGCTCCCGCGCGGCCAAAATAAATGACACCGAAGGTCTCCCAATATTCAATACCGTTATCAGGCCTGTAGCTAACTGTGGCGGTGGAGAAGTTCTACACATGACATTGTGCACATAAAGTAAGTTGTAGTCCATATTCGACGGGGTGCGACGGAAGGAGCGTCGGGAACCAACTGTGAACAGTCATGACCTCGATCGACGGGATCCAGTGTGAACGCCAGGAATTGAAACGGGAACGCAACCGTACTACCGTACAAATAGGAAGCGAAGAGAGATTTGGGAGAGTTGAATCTGCTGCCGTGTTGAACTGGGCCTTTTTCTGGGCTCCTGCGCGGCGATACGGGCTGGAGCTGAAACCCTTGAAGTATTCCTGGCAAGCTCCGTCTTTCTTCACTTTGTGAAGAGACGACCTGGAGGAAGCTTCTAATTCTACCCTTCCTGCCGCTACTGTCGAAAAGAAGGTAAGTGATGCTAAGAATCCTAAGATAGGACACCACTGCCCGAAGAGTACTTGATGTCCAGATAGGGCAGAGCCTTCTAGATATTGCAGATATGTCTAGATAAAGCTAGTGGGCCCCCTTACCCCTAATCGGGAAGTCTCCTAGTTTTCCGTGTCCATGTACAGCTGATAACGTAATTCGTTGCTGTGTTTTAGGATCAAAACGGGTACATGTGCAATGTGCCACTATGTCCATGTCCAGTCCAGTAGAAACTGTAGATCACACTGTACTGTAAAGATGTTTAGCATTTCGAATTTCGGAAATTCGTTGGAAACTCGGGTTGGCAGTCGAAGATTCGCAAAGATAGTTCGACTGGCCTGGATAGGGGGAAAGAAATGAACGTGACTTTCGACTTATGGGGTACCGCGCATGCGTGGATATAGCAGTACATGTATGCATCAACCATCCCACCTGACCTGGAAGATACTTGCAGAGACACGTTGTTTCCACCTACTACATGTGTAAACTGTAACGTAAAACATCATTAGTTTATTATCATTATCCAGGTAGGCTGATCTGCATACAGACTCAAACATATTGGCTTGTGCCGTGTCTGCTACACAGGTCGATCTATACTACAGCCGAGTACATTCAGACAAAACGCTGTAATACAAAATTACCAACAGTATTGTACCCTTTGCGTGAAGATTCTTGATGGTTTCTCGCTCTGTTCTTTTTCTGTCTTTCTGCACTGCAGCAAAGAGAAGAAGGAACATCTGCCGCAGTGTGATAAATTATCGGCAACATGGCTACCAGCCGAGCAATCACACTCCTATCCATCCTGTTGCTTGCGTGTGGGCTTGCAGAGTGCAGTCCAGTAGCATCTACGGACGACTCTAACATAGGCGACGGCAGTGTCAGTTCAACGACGGCAGAAGAAGAGACTGTTGACTGCGAAGGCTCACTAACCAACTGGTCACCGTGGTCGATGAAAGAAACCAATATCAGACACGACTCGGGCTGTGGCACCCAAGTTCGTACTCGAGCATACCGTACCTTGGCAGCAGCGGCGCAGTGTGCTGATGAAGATCTGGATTTGTCTCAGTTCGCAGCCAGATGTAAGTGCATGGAACCTTATCATGTTTATCCTGTATTTTGCTGGATGCTGTAACTTTTCAAAAGCTACAGCACCCAGCACACTTAACTAATCAGTTCATAATAATATACCCGTACATTCTATGATACTTTATGGGGAGAGGGTCAAAACCAATCATGTGAAGATAGATTTGACGGAAATACTTTCAAAGAGCTGAAATACTCGTGTCCCAGCTATTGACAGTCTTCGTGATGTGCCGTGACATAAGGAGAACATACGCATGTACACACACACACACACACACACACACACACACACACACACACACACACACACACACATATACACACACACACACATACACCCTCCCCCCCCCCCCTACACACACGCATGTATACAAGCACATAATACCGATCGATAGATAGATAGATAGATAGATAGATACGGTTAATAGATACGGCTGATAGATACGGTTGATAGGTTGATAGATACGGTTGATAGGTTGATCGATTGATTGATAGATAAATAGGCCGGTATGTGTAGATAGATAATTATAGATACTGGTAGATGACGGTAGATAGATACAGGGCTGGTGGAGCCATGATAATTCGAACCTGAAAATGCCAGGAGAAAAGGTCTGATTATCCGGCCATTCTAATTATTCAAACATGTACCCACAACACATTATGTATGTACGTCAGAATGCTCACATTGTCCCGCCGAGTTGCGCTATGCACCTTAGACACGGATTTAGTGGACGCTGAACTGCCTGCACATGCAAACGAAATTGACTTGCAGAAAATAGATTGAACTTCGGACTATGCTTTGCTACCTTCGAAATTATCAGCACAAATCCCAAACAATTTTCTATGTAAGTGGACTCCGTAGAACTTCTATAATCACCAGACATACCCAGTTCGAGGTTCGAATTATCAGAAATTGTTAAGTGGAGATTGTATTGATAGATATCGGTCCTGGAAGAAACTTCTAATTAAGCGGTATGTTCTAATGTGGCTATATTCCAATTATCAGGATTCCACCTGTACCATATTTTGCCGTATTTGAAGGTTGAGCCAACCGAGATGTAACAAGTTCTACCACTGGACATGAATTTTTTAAAGACGTATGATGTCACAAATACTCCGCAATACTGCAAGTTACTGCTAGCTACTGTGTGCAGTAGTTCAATGAGAGAAATGAATTTGTTCTGCTTGAGGCCCTTGGCGTGGTATTCGCAACTGCAGTGGTGTAAACTAATTTGTTTCTTCTACTTTTTTTGGGCATTTTTCTACAGGTTCAAACATTCCCCGTAAGAAGGTTATGCGTGCACTTCAACACTACTTCGTTGACGATGTGTTCAGCCCGAGAACTGCCAGAGAGCCAGTTCCGGAAGAAATTAGACGGACCTTGAAAAGTTTCCCCGAGGAGTGCCACCAAGAGCTCGCTGACCGTCCAGTTGATCTCTTGATCATGCTCGACAAGTCTGACAGTATGAGGGATGAGGAGTACAAGATGTTGCGCTCGAGCATGGCTCACCTGATCACCAGGAGTATTCCTAATGTGTCTGGAGATGCCACGCGTGTCTCCCTGCTTACTTTTGCAACCTACGCCAATATCGAGTGGGACTTCAACGCATGCCGCAACAAAGCGTGCTATAGAAATGCGTTCAACAACGGCACCAACTCTCCGAAGGATCGCTTTGGCATAACACGGCTCCCCATTAGCCTGGAAAAAGCAAGGACTGCATTCACCAGTGAGAAGGGCTCCAGAACATGCAGCCGCAAAGTCATCCTGCTCGTAACTGATGGCTCAGATGGCAAAGGGTATCCTGAAGATGCAGCAATTGCACTGCGCGATGATGATGTGGAGATCTTCATCATCGGCCTCACCCGCCTAATCAACGAGCAAGAGCTTCGTTCCATTGCAAGCAACCCTACCAGGGAACATCTTTTCTACATTGACGAGATGGATGTGTTGAAGGAGATATTCCAGCGCCTGAGACCTGCTTCTGCGCGTGAAGAAGACCTTGTGGAAACTAAGGTGAAGCCGCTAGAGGTTGTACCAGACTTTTCAGCTGATTTTTAGTTCAGCGTATGGATATATCAATACAATCTGATTATTTGTAACAAGGCGTAACCTCTCTCTCTCTCTCTCTCTCTCTCTCTCTCTCTCTCTCTCTCTCTCTCTCTCTCTCTCTCTCTCTCTCTCTCTCTCTCTCTCTCTCTCTCTCTCTCTCTCTCTCTCTCTCTCTCTCTCTCTCTCTCTCTCTCTCTCTCTCTCTCTCTCTCTCTCTCTCTCTCTCTCTCTCTCTTTCTCTATCTATCTATCTACTCTGACTTATGACTAACTATTTATCGTCCTCTTGCTGTTTGTACAATGTATATCTTTATTTAATCCCTTACTACAGTATTGACAAGGAATATGGGTTAATGTACCATGGTAATAGTCACGAGTCCGATTATGTCGCGTTTTCTGCAGTTTTAAGTTAACATTGTGCACATTGGGGCTTCGGCATGGCAAGAGACACACTAGCTCGTTTGTACACACAGACACGCTGAACCAATGGGGGCCAGGGAAGTAATTACAATGTCATGTAGTTGTAGTTGGCTGCTGTCGATACGAACCGTGACTACAATTTGCGCTGATAAACAATTCCAGTTTGAATAGGCACGCCGACATAATGTCATTGGGCACCAGGAAAATGGAACAGCTGGTTTGGCAGTGCCGGAGAGATAGGCATTGTCTCTGTTAACTTATGATAACAAAAGTTCAAACGACTGTTTTTAATTGTATACGAAAGATGTTGCGACATCGGCGGTGATTTGTGAAGAAAGTGTCTGCTCTGAATGTCCGAGCTAGTTGGTGTCGATACATTGTATATCCCTACATGTAGTGATGTTTTGGTTCCAGAGCACTACATAATGCAGTGCTCTCGGAGCAGACATTTCATTAGCCTACTCTAACTCGACTGATGAGTGGTGAATTCCCCGAAACACTGTGTATTGAGCAGGGAGTGGTGCTTGCAGGTTTACCGAGTGGAAGGTTCGGGCTTCTCGTGTGCTCCAGGCGCAGTCGTGAGTTAGTCAAGATGTTATCATCGAACTGATGAGGCTAGTTTGTATGAAGGCCATAGGGAGGTGTGGTGATGGGGAGGCTCCGAGCAGCTGTAAGAAGTTGAGAACACCGTCCATGATCATGTCATAGCAGCAGTGTCATCAGCAAAAGAGGCTGACATCTGGGACGGGCTGCCGGCAGCTCAATACATACAATTTTGGTAGGAGGGTACCAAGTGTAACAGGTAGCCGAGTGGTAGGCGCGGTGCAATTAACACGAGTTATCTTTTATTCCCGTAGCTATGCAGAAGACGTTACTTCAGTAACGTCTGGCGCTAGCCAGGGTCCACACAGCTTTAATTTGGTGTTTGTTTGTGTGTTTGTTTGTTTGTGTCACGCCTGGCGCTATTTTGTATCTATCCCGTACTGTACCGTACCAGCAAAGACAGCTGGCCACAATATTTTTGTTTGTTTGTGCCATCGACATGCCTGGCGCTATCCCGTACCTGTCCCGTATCATCAAGAGTACGGTACCATCAAGAGTATATATGCGAAGTGTATGGGGGGAATGCATTCAGTGCAGTAACATTAAATGTTGTGTGGATTTGTGTGCGAGGCCGAGATCCCACTAGCAGGCTGGCTGGGCCGCCTGTCGACCAGCCCGGAAATCGCATGTAGGCCGATAGCATAATAATTATAACGTATATACAGTCATGTAGATGTATAGCAGGGAGTCATATTATGTAAACGACTCCCTGCTGTATGGGGAGATTTTCTGGAAAGAAATACGAAGTAGGGAGACGAGTAAATGCAATCAGAATGGATTTTAGTTGCCGTCAGTATAATAATAATAATAATAAGAAGAAGAAGAAGAAGAAGAACGCACGTGATCGCCAGGAAACGTCAGGACAGACATCCCGTCGACTCCAGAACGCCCGTCATCGGCAGAGTCAGCGCCGGTCCCATAGCTATGCAGAAGACGTTACTTGTACTTCAGTATCTCATTGAAACGTTTTTGCAAAACAATGATTTAGCTAATCAAAGGAAAAAGCATTTCCATCAGTTCTAACAACATGCACGATGAGCTAGCCAACAAAGCATAGCGCAGGGCCCTGAGCTTCCAAGCTCTCTCGTTATTATTCTCTTAGGTACACACCTAGGATATATTAGAAGTTAAAGAAGAAGCGGCAAATAAATGACTTTCTCTCCGGTGCACACCTAGAGGTTGACTACTTCTTCTTCTTCTTGGTTTAGCTTTGCCGTTGCTAAATATCTAATCTAATTAAAACAGAAATGCGCAGCCGCTTTAATGCAGCAGACGCCGTACGCTTACATACGGAGATACACTAAATATACATCAGGCAAAGCTCCGTATTAGTTCCGTACTACTTCCGTATTGGTCGGGCAGGGATACTACACCAAGTATGGAGACTGGAGCCCCGGAAAACAGCAAACAGAAAACTCCGGAAACACTATACTGCAGCGCGTAGAGATCAGGGGTCGGAAAGGGAAATGGAAACAGATTAATTTAACCCGACGTTTTTTCCTTTGTTTTGTCAGGCAGAAGAAAGTTTGCCGGCACATGGCCGGCAGGCTGCCCTTTCAGGCTGGTCATCACATGTCATCGGCAAAGATGAAAGGAAGAGCCTTCACTGTTACTCCTGATCCTTGTGCCAGTTTTGGCCAGTGGGTAGATCTAGGACTAAGTAAAGTTCTGGCTCCATCTCTGGCGTACCCACTGTGCCTTATATTCAACCTTTCCTACTCCTCCGGCGTATTTCCTGATCGTTGGAAGATCGCTAAGGTCACGCCCATCTACAAGTGTAAAGGCTCCCGATCACAAGCCTCAAACTATCGTCCAATATCTCTTCTCTGCTCCCTTTCAAAAGTGTGTGAAAAGGTATTTTACGACCAGTTGTATTGCCACATTTCACCATGCCTTAGCCCTTCCCAATCTGGCTTTCGGCGCAACGACTCAACCTCTGACCAACTAGCTCGTCTAGTACACATACTTTTGAAAGGGAGCAGAGAAGAGATATTGGACGATAGTTTGAGGCTTGTGATCGGGAGCCTTTAACAGAGAGCAATATGGTGTCGAGCATCACGAAGGGTGGCAATGTCTAGACATTGCCACCCTTCGTGATGCTCGACACCATATTGCTCTCTGTTTCTTTGACTTGGCAAAGGCCTTTGATACTGTCTGGCATCGTGGCCTCCTTGCCAAGCTACATATTGTCTTTGGTGTGTCTGGCCCTGCTCTGTCCTGGCTGGAGTCCTATCTGAGTAGCCGATCACAGTTTGTTTCTGCCCTCTCCATCAACTCTGATCCTCTACCAGTGTCTTCTGGAGTTCCCCAAGGCTCCATACTTGGACCTCTTTTGTTCGTAGCATACGTAAATGATTTACCCTCTATAGACCCAGGTGTCTCGTTATTTGCTGATGATACAACCCTACTGTCAGCATCCTCGTCCTCAGCGGCTCTTGTACCTCGAGTGTCGGCTCAGATATGCAGTGTCCTACGCTGGATGCAAACATGGCGACTTAGACCCAACCTGACTAAAACAGAAATAATGTTCCTTCCCCCAATCTCATCCATGTCACTTTTACACCATCCTGATTTCCCAGAACCCATAAAGGTTGTTTCCAACCATAAACACCTGGGAATAATGCTTGATGATCGTCTCTCTTGGTCTTTCCATATTGATGCTCTTTGCAGCCGTTCAAGCTCTGCCCTAGGTGTTATACGTCCCCATTGTTTCCATCTTCCTTTCAAATGTAAAATTTTGTTTTACAAACTGTACATACTGCCTCTTTTCATGTACGCTGCTGTTAGCTGGTGTGGCTTGTCCTCGGTTCTCGCTGAGCATCTCGAAATCCACCATAGAAAACTTCTTCGTATCCTGTTTAGTCTACCCCCTCTCTACTCTTCTGCTTCCCTGTATGTCCTTGCAAATGCTTGCCCACTGTCGACCCACCGTCAAAAATTAATTTGCACTTTTGCTCACAAGTTTAAACTAGCTCTACATCCTCCTCATCTTAACGTGTATAACTGGTTCCGAATCAGAGATGGCTCCCAGACAAGATGCTCTGTTGCCCTCCCCTTGGCTAAAACGTCCTCCCTTGTACGCTCTCCACTCTTTGTTGCTTACTCTGCTTGGCTTGCGCTGCCCGCTACTACGCGCAATGCCAGTACCCTGGACGCATTTAAATCTGCTCACTAGATTCACCATCACCTGTCCCTCCCATGCTTCTCCGTCTTGACCATTACATTTCTTCTTTTATTCACCATGGTTGGTTAACACCCACATCTCCCGTACTGGCTGTTTTTCTTCTCATGCCATGAGGTGTTGTCTATAATAATAATAAGTAAGGCGGTGACCGGTGAGGATCGAGGAGCACGCTGTGCACATGCACAGGTCCATACTGCACGTGACACGTATCCCTTTCATAATAGGGAGGTTTAGTTCCCACGTAACGGAAACGCGTACGTGGGTGATCCACGTAAAGTGGATGAAGGGCACCCACGTTGCAATGTTGTGTTTAGTCACACGGAACAAACAAAAGCATAAAGCTAAAGGCCAAAACCTGGTCAAAGACGAAGCTACCCCGGCCTTAGAAGCTCATCTAATATTTTGATTTCGTGCTTCGGAAACTTCTTCAGCTGAGCACCCTCACAGCTCGCACAATGCGCTCCATTCTGATTTTCACCCACGTTCTGGCGGAACGTGGGTGAGCCTCCATACACGGTATGTCGTGAATCAGAAAAGGTCTGTACGTGGGTCACTGAGTATCACGTGGTACACCCACGTAAAGTACCCACGGATTACGTGGGACTAAACCTCCCTAATGCTAGGAGAAGGCGCGAGAATTCGGATGAAGCCGGGGAGCGTCTCAATCGGGGAGTCGTAGATCTACGTATCACTACCTCCCCTTTTCACTCTCTCTCTCTCTCTCTCTGGTCTCTGGTTCTTCTTATTGAATTTTATTTAAAGTCGCAGCACAAACAGGGAGTAACGCCTTCTTATGTTGTCCTCCACATCTGTTTCAGGAGGGCTGTGGTCTTAAAAACAAAGAGCTGTCCGAAGATAGAGCAACCCAGGAAATATGTAGTCTTGACAGATATTAGCACAATGCCTCCAATCCGGCCTGTGTCCTGCATTGGCGGACAGTGCACGCGTTACTCTACTTGGCTCCATAACTGAATAGCAAAATAGTGACTATTGGATCATGCTCGCGAAATCATGGAATTATGCTTTCATGGATTCTCTCATTATGCTCGCGAAATCCTCATAATTATTATGCTTTGGCACGCGGGGCCGGGGGATACATATCACTTTGTTGTACTTATGGCGCCTCAAAGTTGAGAAAATGGTGTGTGTGTTTCTCTCTCTCTCTCTCTCTCTCTCTCTCTCTCTCTCTCTCTCTCTCTCTCTCTCTCTCTCTCTCTCTCTCTCTCTCTCCCTCTCTCTCTCTCTCTCTCTCTCTCTCTCTCTCTCTCTCTCTCTCTCTCTCTCTCTCTCTCTCTCTCTCTCT